TCTGTGCAGTAGTTCCTGTGCAAATAGAGCATGTGTACATGCTGGCTAGGAACAAATTTGCTCCCAGTCAACCCCAACACTAGGGGGCCACAGGGAACAGAGAACTCCCCCAGTCCTGGCACTACCTATTTCCCAACTCCCCCAGGAGCTGGGAGCCGAGCAGTGTGGGAATAGGGTAGCTCTCTACCCCAACCCCTGTCTTGGCACTGTTCAGCTCATAGCTCCCTGCAGGAGCTGAGAGCCGAGCAGCACTGGGACTCGGGAGCTCCCTGCTTCCCTGCGCAGCTGGGGGCTGACTGGGAACTGTCCCAGTACTGAAGCAGGTCCCAGCCAGGTCTGGGCTGCACAGCGATTTCTCTGTCCAGCCCAGGGATGGCCAGGAACTGTCCTCCCTTTGGAGCAGCGCCCAGCCAGCTCTGGGCTCTGTGGGAAAATCGGCACAGCCCAGAGCTTCCTCGGACCTACCCCAGAACTGGGACAGTTCCTGTCCAGCTCTGGGCTGGGTGGGAAAATCCTCATGCATCCCAGGGCTGGCTAGGAGCTGCCCCAGAAGGGAGACAGTTCCCAGCCAGCCCTGGACTGTGCAGGGAAGCCCTGCTGGGCACAAAACTTCTCCCAATGTGCTCGAGGTGGGAGAGCTCTGCGGTGGCAGCCATCTCCCAGCCTTGTGCATATCAGGACCCCCTGATGTGTATGGGGTAAGGAGGCAGTTGCCTTTGCAACTGGCAGCTCTCCTGACCCTGTGTGGATGGGGACAGGCCCTGTACTCCTTACCAACCCTCGGGTTAATGCCCAGGGAAAGTCTGGAGCTCCCCCTGGCTGCCAGAGGCTAAAGCAAGTTTGGATCAGTCCTGTACTGTGTGGTTCTCATTGGGAGCAGATTTGCTCCCAAGAGGGAGCACATATAGATGTGTTCCTAGGAAAGACTTACTGTGCAGTATTTTACTGCACAGTAAGCCTTTATAGCATTAATTGCCCAAAGTGAATGGAAAGAATTGGGAATGGTGACTGGGCAAAAACACTAGGGCAGGAATCAGAGAAAGCATAATTACGACTGGAGGAGAAGCTGAGGGAGAGAGACTGGGGTCGAAAGGGTGGTAAGGAGGAACAGATCAGATAAGGAACCAGAGCATTTGGGGGTTGGTTAAGCAAGGAGACTTGAATTAGTTAAGGAGCACTTAGGTGGAGATTAAGACTTGGGAGACTAAGATGGCTCTTTCCTAAGAACTAGGAAAAAGTGAATGGGCCTCTGTGAGCTAGGGCTAGCGAAGAGGAAAGACTGAGGCAGAAATAGGTTGAGGAGAAGGGAACATTATTTGTGACCTGCCCCACAGTATTTAATCTCACCCATCTCCTGTGCTAGCTCATGGAAGATGTAGGATGACCAACTACAACCGCTACCTGTTACTCCATTAGCTCAAGTGACAAGTCTGAACAGGGGAATTAAAAGCTGACAACCATGCTCATGGCTTGTGTTGGTTTCAAAATGATGCCACATCATAGTATTGCTATTTTTCTGTGTTGTTTTTTAAAAAGCTCTAGGAAATTACAAACAGAAACTCAGAACACTATCATGGTTATCCACATATCCCCATGGGCATGCATGGTCGAATGGGAATGGTTTGTACTTTGACTGTGAGCTAAGGAATAGCCATTTTGATTAATTTGATCTGAGAAAATGGCAAGTTGCCTAAAATGGACAAGTGATGTTTTTTTCCCTGAAGAAAATTGCTGGCTTGAGGCTACTGCTCTGCTTCACCTCACCACAGGTAGCAGCATCACTATGCTCCTCCAGACTGCTTTGCTTTTGTGGTTCAAACCCAACATGGAGGCTCTGTTTATGGTGGTGAGAAAACAGGCGAGTCTCTACCTCATTTGAGGCTCTGCTGAAAATGTCACTCAGGCCAAGGAGGAACACTTTATTTTTACACAAGAAACGTCATAGATGCCAGCATTCTCCTGAGATTTAAGTCTAAATTTAAAAAGGGGAAGAAGTGTTTCCGGAGTGAACCATAACAAAGAATTAGGGGGTTTCTTTATTATATAGTTCTTTACAAACACATTGATTTTTTTTCCAGTGAACAGACTGATCTCACAATGGGTTTGATTTTACATAATGTAAAAAATACAAAAGGACAGTAAGAATCATCCTCAGTGGGTGCATCTACACCAGATGCCACGTTCCTGTAGTGATGCACTATGGCAGGGGTTTTCAACCTTTTTTGGCATCGGTAGAGAAACATGGAGTCCCCCAGCCAGTTGATGAGCAGGGGGGTTAGAAGGGGGAGTCCTCGGGCAGCTGATCCATGGGCAGTGAAGGTGGGGGTCCCCCGCCCAGAATGGCGAAACCAAAAGCATCGCCAGCAAAACCAGAAGTGCCCCCACTTCTCTGTGCTGTGTGCCCCCTGTAGCCTTTCCAAATACCCCCAGGGGTACATGTACCCCTGACTGACAACCCCTGCACTATGGTGATGTAGCCTGTCACTATGGCAATGTAGTACTGTGAAGCACAAACCGTGACACTGATGCTTGTCGCTGTAGCAACAAGCTACCTCACTATAGTGCGTCGCTACGGCAATACAGCTGCTAAAAATAATGATGTGCTGTCATTTAGTACTTCCTAAAGCAAGTACTAAAGGACAGCACAGTAACGAATGCACCGTGGGGGGCACATGTAGATGTGCCTAGTCTGAGCTGGACAGGCAGGGGTCAGCATGGGTTTGTTTGAATCAGTACATTTAAAGATTTCCCTGCTCTTTACAGAACAGTTCCTGATTTGTTCTTGCCTTTTGGGACTAAAGGCCTAGTGGTTTTTCCTCCTCCATGCAAGTTCTTTGAAAAAAAGTTGTTATACACAGGGAATTGTAGCTGTTTAAGTAGAAAGGCTTTAAGCAAACGTTTTGGTAAGTATGTGTTCTTGTTGCTGCTGATGTAGTGTTCCAATGCCCACTGCTGGAGCTGGTAAGGGAGGTCGGCTCACAAGATGGAGCTGAAATTAAATAAAAATTACAATTAGACTGATGACTGATTAGGATTGAGGGTTATACCTTTACATGGACTTCTATCACCGTAGGATCCAAGCGCCTCATAACACAATAAAAATATGGGATCAGTGAATCCCACACAGGAATAAATCAGAGCTTCCCAAAGAGTTGTATTTAAAGTACTTAAGTACAATAAGGCCCCAAACTGGCTTTGACTGCTAGGTGCTACTATAATAGTAAGTCAGCAATAGCCTAGGCTGAACATAACATTCATAACCCTGTGTTTATGAACAGAATTAGACTCATTACTAATTCTAGGTAACAAAATAGAAAGCATCCATCTATTTCATTTATGTTTAAAGTTATAGCAAATTACTGGTATAGAAGGAGAGAGAATAAGCAATTACTCTGGTCTAAGGGTTAAGTTCTCCCTCTCCCTTTCAAAAGAGCATATGGTTATGGCTGTTTATAGCCATATTCTTTAATATATATTAGAATATATTCTTTAATATATAAACAAAACAGGAGGTTGAGCTTTGAGATATATGGTACAGAATCATAGAAAATTAGGTTTAGAAGGGACCTCAGGAGGTCACATCTAGTCCAGCCCCCTGCTCAAAGCAGGACCCAACTAGATCATCCCAGCCAGGGCTTTGTCAAGCCGAGCCTTAAAAAAACCTCTTGATGGAAATTCCACCGCCTCTCAAGGTTATGTTATATTCAGCGTAGGGTATTGTTGATTTAATACTATAGTAGCACATAGTGATCATGGCCAATATATATTGGAAAGTTTGAGCTTTGAGATATATTATACATCTCTGTGGCAGAGCACAGGTTGTGCCTGCCACTTGAAAGGCTTGAGCAGGCTGCAGATCAGCCTGCAGGTGGGAGCAGACCCAATCAGGAGGGTCACATGGCACCCAGGAAACTGCCTGATTGGTGTAAAACTAGGCAGACAGGGTATAAGACAGGCCCTGAGAGCACAACTGGGCAGTTGCAATTGGAGAGGTGAAGAGTGAACATCTCCCAGCCAGAGTACTGCTGCTCCAGAACACCTGGAAGTCAGGGTAGGAACTGTGGGGATGGAGGAGGTTCCTGGTCCTGGGGCATGACCTAAAACTACACCCTGCTGAGGCTGGATGGTGTGGTGGGGCTGCCCGAGGCAGGGCAGTCTCCAGGAAATGCCACACCAGTGCCTTCCTAGTAGAAGGTGAGTATGGGGCACCGGAAAGCCTCAGCTCCCACTGCCTTATGAGTGACCCTGTAGGAGGGAAAGGCTAGTGGAGCACACCCCGACAGAAAAGCACAAGGCCAAGGCCCACAAAGTGGGGCTTGAGGCCCATGGGGCATAAGGCCCAGAAGCTCCAGTGAAGGGACAGAGTATTAGCCCCAGTGAGGGGGCAGAGCGAGATCCAGAGGCCGCGTAGACTATGGTCCGTGAGGGGGGCCTGAAGGACTGCACATAGGCTGACCGGAGTAGAGGTCTAGTAAAGGGCAGAGAGAGAGAATGAGCCCAGTGAGGGCGCAACAGCAGGCCTAGGAGGGGTCCAGTATAATTATGTGGTCCATGAGCTCAGAAAGAGGAGCTGTATGGGAGAGAACTAGCTGCCAAGAACCTACGAATAAAACCTTGACTGGTCAATGGTGGGGCCAGGACCAGGACAGTCAAAGGACCTGAGCACCCACCGCAAAGGACAGCCAAACCTAGAGGCTTGGAGTCCCAACTAGCCTAGAGGCCAGGCTAGGGCCTGTGAGGCCAAAAGTCCAAAAGGGGGTCACTGCCAAGAGGGAAAGGGGTCTAGGGGGATTTGCAACCCAGTATGAGGGTGGAGATTAGGCCACCTGAGTAGAAGGGATCCAGGTCAGGGTCTGAATGGTCAGATTAGAATATAGTGGGGCTAGAGCCATGTAGTGATGCCATCTGCAAGGCACAGGACATGGTATAGGGCTGGTATGGAGCCATGTATTACACCCTTGGCATCAGGCATTAAATAGGTAGCCTCCCACCTATAAACATCTTTTCAGTTGCATCAAAGGTGAGGCAGGTGGACAGACTGCCTTAGACAGGTGGGCAGGCCAATGATTGGATGGCCTCGAGACAGCTCCCCGTTACAGTCTCAAAGCTCAAACTCCAGTTTAAAAGAATACAGCACTATAAGATGACCTTACCTTACATGCTAACTGCTTCTCAAACCTTGGTGACACAAAAGTCCAGGGACCCATGTTCTGTGGTTCCTCCTGACTCCAAATAAAATCTGTAAGAGGACGTGAGAATCAGAGCCATACTGGGTCAGATCAATGGTCCCTCTGTAGCAAAACCCCTAGTTTTTCTTTTTTTTTCTTTTAAAATGTATTCCCTCCCCTTCCCCAGCCATTTTTGACTTTTTCTTTCCCTCTCTATTCCCTACAGATAAGTATAAGTGAGCTAAGACATAGGATAAGCTTCAGCATTTTATTTTGGTAGCAAGTTGTATTTGTTTTGTTTTTTCTCCTTCTTTATATTGTATAATTATTATGTTTATATTGATTTTAACTGTTCTATATTACTGTTACTGCATGATTTAGGCCTACATATGTAAGTTAGCATAAGTTATGTCAAGTTTCTATTTTGTTTGTCAAGTCTCCATCCTGTCCCTAGGCCCAGTTGTGTAACCCATGACTCACACCTACCCCTCCTATGTAACTTGGTTCCTGAATGAATGCGGGTGCTTGAGAGACAATGGCAGTAGGTCTAAAAATAGCTCCCTCTGAATGACCAAACCATCAACACCAATACCTGGACCAACAACCCAAACCTTGGAACCACCCTCAGCATTCAAGAAACAAAAGATGAGGCAAACCACCATTGTGCCAGGCTGCACATGCTCAGTAAGAACACCTGGAGCCCTCTGGGACAGGACTGACATTGCCTGGATAGGCCCTCCCCATAGGAGATCAGAGATAGCCTGCCCCTAAAAGGGGTAGTGAAGACTGACTTTTTGGGACACCCTCTCCATCTGGACCAGCACCATGCCATACCACCTATCCACCCAGAGGCCCTGCCGGCAACCCCACTCTGGACAACACCTACTGGACAAGGACCCCCTCCCAGCCTGGATAGGCAGCTATCACCCCCCACCCCCTCTTCAACCAAGGACTTGGACTCTGCTTCTTTTCCCTACCTGGACTCCATCCCTTCCACTGAGTCTCTTTCTCCTGCTGCCATTGTGAGTGTTTGTGTGTGTGTGTGAACCAATAACTTCATGCGGCTGTGTAGTGTGTTTGTTTAATAAAACTGTTATTTGGACCCCTAAGTTGGGTTTTGCTTTACTGTGGTTTGGCCCTGCTCCAATCTCTGCTCCTTGCCCCTCTAACTTCTGTCTCATTTCTCCCTCTGCTGCTTCTGGCTTACTGCCACCTCCAACACCTGTCCTGAGCTCCTCTCTGCCTCCAAACTCCCTGTTTCTTTGCCACTGTCTTATCCCCACTGCCTTTTCCTTTTCCTCTGAGCAACCAGGTTTTTGCCTCAGTTTCTTTCCTGGCCGTCTCCTCCTTGCCACCACTTATCTGCCTCCCCCCCCACCAATATCTCAGCTGTCTGCCTCATTTTCCAGCCCCAGTCTACCTTAAGTAAACCCAAGCCTCACTTCCTCAGCCAGCTTCTCTGTAGTCCACCGGTTTTAATCCCGGTTCTGGCAACTTTCACTCCGTACACTTTAACTCGCTCTCTCTCACCTGAACCTTCCCCCAAGTATCCCAGGTACCCCAAGCGCGCGCGCGCGCACACACACACACACACACACACACACAGACAC